CCAATTTTGTTTTTGGTTATTATGGTTTAACAGACCAGATGGTTTCACTGGAATTTGCCAGACTCACTGAGCCACTTGTAAATTTCCATTGTTTTGTGGTTTGTTAACTATGGAGGGCTTAATATTAGAAATCATCACATTTTCATAGAACCAAGATGGAATGTTCTAAATGGTTACATTTTCATGGTCATGAAAAATCAAGTTATTGTATATTAATGAAAGTGTTCTTGGTAAGATGTCTCCCTCATCCTTTTTTAATTCTGTAGTTATTGAATTGAGTAATATTTAAATTGAATTTAGCTTGGCCCATTTCATTTTGAAATAAATTATTGAAATTGTTTCTTTTCAGAATCGCCTTGATATCTACATGTCACATTTCCCAGATTCAACATCTGTGCAAAATATACTTCACTGGGGCCAGGTAGTGTTTTTGTAATCTAAAATTGTGCATTTTTTATGTTCTCTCTCCCAGTGGCGTATAATATATTGCCAAATACTTCATAAATCAGCATCATCATGTGTAAATGCAGGTGGGTGATGTAAGTAAACATCACATAATTTCTATTTGAATTTACCAAACAGTATGCAAAATACCATAATCACGATCACCGTGTTAAATATATTATATAAAACTAGTATAGACACAGTCAAGAAAAGGCTTTTGGCTTTTGAAAGTGGTTCATTTCTCAAAAGGCAATTTTGAGCATTTGGGGTGTATAGGGAATGGAGGTGTAACAAAACTATTTAAAAGTGTGTAGATGCTAGAACAGAGTTAAGAACTGAAGAGCTGGGATTGTGCACATCTGGAATGTCAAAGTCTGTGAAATTACTTTTATAATTCTCAGTGAAGAATCTTTGTCATATATTCATTAGAGTGCTTTTGAAGCCAAGAACTGGAAAGAAAATATGTCCCAGAATTTTAAAAAAATTACTATTAGTAGATGACATGTGAATGTCAATATGTCCCAGAAGCATCTTTGGATACCTGGTAGTCAGGTTTGGAGATTTCTGCTTCCAGACACTTATCTTTTACATGACAAAGATAATGTAGGGGTTCAAGTGGAACAGATGGGTTTGATTATATAAATTAGATCATGGAGAGCTTTAAATGTTTGCAGGGCTCAGGCCACATCTATTTCATAATCAGCTTGGTGAAAATGCATTTAGTTTGTACATGAATCATTTCACATGCTAAAGGCTTCATAGCAGAAGTAAATTATCAGGAAAGATGTGAATGAGACATGGGTAGTGACTTGGTGAATTACATAGTATCTCATTCATTATGCAATGAAACTAAGTCCACCGTAAAAATAATATTGCTTTTTAAAAGTAAGGAGAAAAGTATATACTTCCTTGGCTTTAGAAATAGAAATATTCCATGGAAGGAGAGAGCAGAGGAGTTATTATCAGGTCATTGGGTCAGGATGGGGCACAAGAGGTAAGGGGGAAGAGGCAAGGGATGGGGAATGTCTATGTGAGGTTAAGACTTAGCCTTGAAGCCAGAAAGCTCCAAATCTTTGTCTTTATTGTAGTGTCTGGTCTCTGGTACCCAGCACAGACCACCTTCCCTCCTGCCTTCAGCGCTTGTGTAATATGGCTTCTTTGTTCCCATGATCACAAGAACTCACACTGGCCATATGAGGAAATGGTTTGGGAGTAAAGTTAACACAGCCTAGGGTTATACATTCCAACAGCTGTGTGTAGACAAACCAAGAATGATACAAATGTAGCAAAACAGGTCCAACTTTACAGCGGCTGTTTCTCCAGATTAAAGTTGGAGTGGTTTTGCTACATTTATATCATTCTCAGTTTGTCCACCTTTAACTAACAAAAGGCAACAACAGATGTTGTGCACACTCAGTCAGCAGTTCCCCTTTTGAAATGGTTCCAAATGAATATTTGTCCATACTTTGATTGGGCCACTGTTTTTCTATAGGATATTTCTGAATATACCTGAAAACACTTTATAGTGCCTTATGTGGGCAGAGAAACTCAAAATATAATTTATATTGATATACAAGTAGGTACATCTTGTAAACCCTAGATCAGTCCAAATATCTTGGAAGGATGTCTGGAATTATTATTTAAGGTAAAATAAAACATGTATTAGGATGTCAGTCTCCATACTGTGAAAGTGGCTACTATTTGCTGTTTTTTAAGGGAAACAGTGTTTTGAATGTTTTTGTTATTTTGAAATTTTCAGGTTCCTATGAGACAGAATAAATAATTCAGGATGTAAGAGACAGTGTGTGTGTATGTGTGCATATATAATAATGTATATGTATAATTAGTATTATATAATATAATTGTATTATATTATTCGTATAATACATATTTATTATATTATTATATAATATATACTTATAAGTCAAATATATGTATTCATTTATTCTTTTTTAGACCTATCAAACAGGGGAATTTAAAAATTAAGATTATGGCAGTGAAAATAAAGCCAAGTACAACCAGGGAAGAAAAATCTCTGATTCTCTGCCCCCTCCCC